ACAGTGCCTAATTTGACAAACCCTTCTTCCCTGGGATCATTCTTGTGAATGTCCTCTGGACCCCTCCAATGCCAGTACATCCTTCCTTAGATACAAGGAACAGAACTGATTACACCTTCCATCACTTTATTGACAACTGATAGTTGACTGATGGGGCAGTAATTGACTGGACTTGAATATTCAACTTTTTGTGTATAGGATGTACCAGGGCAATTTTCCACATTGTCAGGTAGATGCCAGTGTTGTAGCTGTGCTGAAACAGCTTGAATCAGGACAAAGCAAGTTGTACAGCACTCTTCACTACTACTACAGAAATGTATTCAGGCCATATCCTTTCAGTATCCAGTAACTCGAGCCATTTCTTGATATCACATGGAATGAATTGATTGAAGACTAGTGTCTGTGATGCTAGGGATTTCTGGATGAGACAGCAATGAATCATCCACACAGCACTTCTGGCTGAAGATTGTTGCAAATGCTTCATCTTTGTCTTTTGCACTCAGATGCTAGGCTCCTCTTCCATTGAAGATAGACATTTGTGGAGCCTTCTCCTCCAGTGAGTTGTTTAATTGTTCACTGACATTCAGGTCTGCAGACCTTAGATTTGACCCATTGCTTGTGTAAGTGCTTAGCCCTGTGTATCATTTGCTGCTTATCCTGCTTTTAACTTCATCAAGTTGACACCTCATTTTTAGGTATGTTTGGGGCTGCTCTTGACATGCCCTCCTGCACATGTCATTGAATCAGGGCAGATCTTCTAGCTTGATGCGTAAAAACAGACTGGGGCTATTATGGGCCATGGGTTCACAGATTGCATTGGAGTACAATTCTGCTGCTGCTGATGGCCCACAGTTGCTAGAGCTGTTCAAAGTCTATCCCATTTAGTATGGAGATAGTGCCACTCAACACAATGGAGGGTATGCTCAGCTGAAAGACATCTCCACAAGGACTGTGCAGTGGTCATTCTTATCAAACCTGTCATGGACAGATGCATCTGCGGCTGGCAGATCACTGTGGTCGATGTCAAGCATGTTTTTCCATCTTGTTGGTTTCCTCACCACTTGTTGCAGAACCAGACTAACCGGTGTGTTCAATTGGGTGAGTGGTGGTGGTGCGAGCCATTCTAGGTGACAGAGATCAAAGTTATCCACCCAAAGTATATTCTGTGTCCTTGCCACCCTCGTGCTTCCTCCAAGTGGCGTCCAGGGTCAATTTTTGGAACCTCTCCAACCCTCCACACCACATCATTTCCCTGGGCAACTTCTTCCTGACTGTATACAACTTTGCCACCAGCTCTGCTTGGCCTGTCCTGCTGGTGAGACAGAAAGTACCCATGGACGGTGATGGTGTTGAATGGGACTTTGTACGTAAGGTACAATTCTGTGAGTATGACTATGTCAGACTGTTGATTGACTAATCTGTGAGGCAGCTCTCCCAATGTTAGCACTTGACCCCAGATGTTGCAGAGGGGGACTCTGCCAGGTCAACAGGTTTGAGCTTCTTGTTGTTGTTGCTGGTACATTAATTGAGAGGTCATGTTGTGCTAGAAGATGAGAGAAAGCTTGAGAATTTACTGTAGTCCTGCTCCTGTCTCCTTGTTTTACAGGTTCCTAGCCCCCGGATTGTAACTCTGCTTCACAGACACCACCATCTAAACCAAAAACTGGAATAGTGCTCAGTGTGTGTGTGTGCTTACGTGCACTGCATGCAGAGGCTGAAGATTTGGGAAAAGAGGCTGCTGAGTGGATGAGTGGATGTGGAGGAGGAGTTGGGAAGTGAGGCTGCTAAATAAGTGAGAGAAGACAGAATGGGTTCGGAAGTGAAATGTTTGGTGGGGGGAGGGGAAGGGATAAATTGTGTGTGGAGCTGGGGGAAACAGAGCTACAATGAATCTTCTGTCACCACAGAGTATGGAGAGTTTGGCTGAAACTTGCATGAGTGCAAACACACTATTTTATATAAAGTACTTTAGAAACTGAGATTTACATATTTATATCATGTATATGTTAATATATAGTACGTACACTTTAATAAATAATTACTGAACTTTTTATTGCTTTATTGTTGTTTCTTTTTTCTGTTATCTGGAATCACATTAATATTCAAGTCTTAAAATGGATTCACATCAGAAAACTGTTTGGGATATGCTCTAGGAACAACATGTGTACCCAAATCCTGAAAGGAAGCTATCTACAAGTTTGCTGATGACACCAACATCGTGGGACAGATATCTAACAATGGGAGTCAAACTACGGAAGGGAGATAGAGGGCTTGGTGACGTGGCACAATGAAAACAATCTGTCTTTCAACTAAGGAACTGATCATTGACTTCAAAAGGAAAGAAGAACATGCCTCATATTCATCAACAGAACTGAGGTTGAGAGGATGAAGAGCATCAAGTTCCTTCGAGTGATGATAACCAACAACCTGTCCTGGTCGTACCACGTAGATGCGACAGTCAAGAAGGCACAACAATGCCTTTTCTTCCTCAAGCAGCTGAGGAAATTTGGCATGTCCATATGTCCCTCACCAACTTCTACAGATGCACCACTGACAGCATACTGTCTGATTGCATAATGGCCTAGTATGGCAACCGCTCTGCCCAGAACTGTAAGAAACTTCAGAAGGTGGTGTGCTCAGCCCAGACTATCGTGAAAGCCAACCTTCCATCCATGGAATCCAATTACACGGCTTACAGCCCCAGAAAGGCAGCCAACATCATCAAAGACCCATCACATCCCGTAATGATCTCCTACCATCTCATCCATCAGGCAGAAGATACAGAAGCTTGAACACACACAACAAGTAGGTTCAGGAACAGTTTTTTCCCAGCCGTTATCAGACAGATGAATGGACTGTCTAGCATCAAATAACACTGATCTTGCTAACGTTGATCTCACCTAGTGCACGCCCTGTGCGATGTAACCTGTATGCCTCTAAGTCTTTTTTATCAGTACATCCTTTGCTTACTATAATCTACTTGTACCGCTCGTAAACAAAGCTTTTCACTGTATTTACGTACACATAACAATAAATAAAATCAATCAATCAACTTTACCAGTACTCCTGAAAGCAGCCACTAAAAGGCATGGAAGAGCAACTACTTTTGACTGAGTATCTGTTCTTCCATCTTCTCACTGGGAAGTGCCTTATCTCCATCTGGTCCTTCCTTTAATGGCTCAGCTAAAGTCGAACATGCCAGATGGAAATCCTGCTAGCATACTACAGCTACCATTCTATAGTGTAGCTCAGTGCCATTCAGCAGCTTACATCTATGTACCACAGGCCTTAAGTTAGATTTGCACTATTGTCACAAGTTTGTTAAAATTAGCTTAATTTATCAGCTTGCAAGCCCTTTGCCTCTGAGCCAGAAAGCCCAAGTTCAAGTCTTACCTTCTCCAGAAGAGTGTCATAACATCTCTGAGCAGGTTAGTTAAAAAACACCTGCAATTGTTCCCATAGGTTAGATCTGCATTTGAGCATAACTCATTATGTATCATTGTCTATGATACAGGAAAAGTTAAACAAACAGTGAGGAGACAAACAGATGGCTAGATTTAACTATCCCAACTAATGAACTTAAAGGCAGTGGGGTATGCTACATTCAGCAGATAGCCTGCTAGCTGCCTAACCTCCCATCCTTTCCTGCTTTCAAGTGGCCTTCCTTAACTGACCCCTTGGGCCTGAGAGAGGGCTACCCTGCCCAAACGTGTAACCTTTCCAAGTTGCCCTCCCCTCCTCCACTGTTGTTAGCACAATGCTCCCATAACTCTATTGGTATAAGCAAGAGGCAAACACATTGGCCATTTAATGTATATAAGGCAGAGATTCTTCCTCTGACCTTTGCGCGGTTATGGGTGTGGGGACTACAGCATCCCATTTAATTCAGCATACAGTTAATTTAATTTTGATTTTTCTCCACAGATATTAACATTTCTGCTGAGTATTTCAAACATTTTATGTTTTATCACATGCTTCTCACACCAGCAGTAATTTAGTTGTGTACTATTTTCAGTGGACTCAACATCAAGTAAAACTACAACACTGTGGAATTGGTCGGTATCACACTTGCAAATTGGAGAACTTTTATCAGTTTCATCACCTATGTCAGATGTTAAATATTGAAAATGAAGACTTTCACAACAGGATGAAATCATTGAATAATTACACGCAGGAGGCTACATGGCCCATCACATCTGTGCAATAGTCAGTCCCACAGAGCCTGAGAATCTTATCTCTTCAGTTAGTTATCCAATTGCCTTTTGAAAAGGCACATTTCAGTCTGCCTCCATCTCATTCCAAACTATTCCAAATTCTAACCACTTGCTGTATAATGATGTTTTTCTTCATATCACTTCTACAGAGGAATCAATCACTTAAAAATTGATGTCTTCAGGTTTGTAATCCTTCCACTAATGATAGCTTTTCCTCTATCGACCCTGTATAGACTGTTCATGATTTTGCACATTTCAGTTAAATCTCTCAACCTTCCTTTCTCTAAGGAGAATAATCCAGCTTCTCTAAGCTATCCTCATAAATGAAAGCCCTCATCTCCAGAAATTCTCATAAACCTTTCTATACGATTTCTAATGCCTCACAACATTACTAAAATCTGGTGCTCAGAATTGAATACAATGTGCCAGTTAAGTCAAACTGATATTTTATAAAGGTTCACCATAACTTCCTTGCATTTGTTCTTGAAGCCTTGATCTTATATGCTTCATTAACTGCTTTGTCATGATATCGTGCCACCTTCAATTTGTTGTGCATATACCCTAGTTTCATCAGCTCCTGCACACACTTTAAAACTGTAATCCTTAGTTTAAATTACCTTTCTGTATTCTTCCTTCTGAAATGTATCAATTCTCATGTCTTTGCAGGAAATTTAATGCCAGTAAAGCTTTAAAATAAGCTTAGTTGGGCTTTCTGTGTACAGTTATCAGATATTAGAGTAAGTGATTAGAAAATGCTAACTGCATTTTCTCAGTTGAATCACTGACCTTCTGCAGTCTGCAATCTCTGACTCTTCTGGTGTGGGGCTTCCATCCAGCTTCTTCCAGCCAATGACATATTTATTAATGGCACCCTGGCAATGGTAGGATCCAGACAATGACCCCAGGATTTGTTGAGGGCTGTTCTGGGACACTATGTAGACCTTGGAGGCATCAAGTGATCCACTGGTTTTAGAAACACGCGGTGATGGACTTCCTGAATGATGTGAACCACTAAAGAAATGGAAGTTTGATGAAGGGATAGAAGAAAACAAAAGAACAGTGAATAATTTCAATTTTGCCAGGGCTCATATTATTAATTGAAGAGGATTAGTTAATTCTGCTATCCAGCAATGCTTAAAGTCAGTAATGTATCAACATCTGTGTTGCAGAATGCTTACAAACATCAGCACAAGTACTATTTTAGACAGATAAAATCACAGTTAGAGTCAATTCATTAAAAAAAAAAGCCCAAAAAGACAGAATTGGGACAGACATGAGGAAATTCTTCTTCTGAAGTGAAATGGAATTGATGTTAATGCATTAACAGATAAGAAAATTCAAATTCTAGAAATGATTTGAAAACCAGCTCGTTCCTGTGATGAGAAGCTACAGGTTAAGGAATGGGATGGACAAGTAGGGAGGGAATTATTGGGTTTCTCATCTATATTTATTGTGTAAGAACATTATGAATGCAAAACACAGCTGGCTAATGAATATGCCAAGATTTTGATGAGAATTTTTCCAAATGATAGTTGGAGGACTCATTACAAGGGCAATGAAACAGAACTATCACCTCCCCTCCAGTATGACATTATAATTAAATCTTCAGTCTAAAGTCTTTACAATTTTCCTCACTAAAAACTCATTTAAATGTGCATTTTGGTCATTTTAGTTTAACTTACAACTGCAAATCATTCTCATTCCGAAATTCAGAATGGCTGTTTTTCATAGATAAATAAATATAACACCCTTTCAGAATAACTGAAACACAACTGGTATTAGCTTGGTTTTTAATTGATATTTGATGGTGAGCAATTGACCCTGATTGCTGAATTCTAATATTTGGTGAAATAAAAGTGGCCTTTCCAAATTATTGCTGCATGAAATTAAGAGCATGGCTTGATCGTTACTTCAGGCTGCTTTCTGCGGAGACTTGGTAAATACATTCAGTAGCAGTGGGGGTCAACATTAAATCATTCTCTGCTTTTTAACAAAATAATTTGATGTTTTCAAAAGCATTGAGCAAATATATTTCTACCTATCAAGATTCACAGTAGAAATTTTCTGTTAAACTAAATACAGAGAGTATTGCAAAACATTGAATTTAATTTCATATAGACATGTCACAAACTGAAGAATATGAATCATACAGATGATTTTGCATAAACAGAAGAAAATGAATGCTTGTAGACACTGCTACATCAATTAAACAGTATTAATCGGTGTAGACAGTGTCTTAAATTGAGTATTAATTCATCTAGACATTCAAAAATTGAAGAGCATTAACTCTTTGAGGGCTATAACATGAAGCATATTAATTTATGTTGACAATATCACAAACAGATGAGTAGTAATACATGTAATGTCATAAACTAAAGATCATTAAGTAGTAAATAGATGGACAATATTGCATGAGCTGAACAGAATTAATTAATAGACAATATTGTGTACACTGAGAAGTATAATTTCATGTTAAGGGTGTGACATAAACAGAATAGTAATAAGTTTTGCAGATAATTTCATAAATTGAAGATTACCATTTGATAGTGTTGCATGAACTGAAAAGTACTAATTAATACAGAGGGTTATCAATTGAGGTTCACCAATTACTTCAGGTAAAATTGTAAGACCATGACGTGTAGGAGAAGATTTGACTCATCAAGTCTGCTCTGCCATCCAATGAGATCATCATGTCTGGCCTGATGATCCTCAACACCACTTTCCTGCCTTATTCTATAACTCTCAGTTCTCTTAATGATTCAAAATCTGGCTATCTCTGCCTTGAATATATCTAACGATCCAGCATCTACAGCCCTCTGTGGAAAAGATTTCCACAGATTCACTGCCCTCAGAGAAAGACATCCTCCATATTTCTGTTTTAAAAGCGTGACTCCTTGCTCTGAAGTAATGCTCTCTGGTATGAGGCTCTCCTACAAGGGAAAAATATTCTCTGCATCCACCCTGTCAAGCCCCCAAGGAATCTTATATGTTTATCAAGATCTCCCTTCATTCTTCTGATCTCCAATGAGTACGAGTCCAACCTATTCAACAGCTCCTTGTAAGAAAATTCCTCTATTCCTGGGACCAATCTGGTGAACCTTCTCTGCAGTGCCTCCAATGACAGCATACTTATCTCTAGATAAGGGGGCCAAAACTATTCACAATATTCTAGGTGTAGTCTGACACGTGCCTTGGAGAGTTTTAGCAAGACCTCCCCACCTTTTACACTCAAAAGTTGATAGAAGTTTGGAACTTTCTTCCGCAAATGACAGATACTTCTTTAATTGTTAGTTTTTAATACAAGATCAATACATTTTCTCTGAAGTAAAGGTATGTGTTAAAGGCAGGTATATGGAGTTAGATCACAGAAGCACCATGATCTCATTGAATAGCAGAACAGGCTTGAAGGACTGAATGGCCTACTCCTATTCTTATGTTCCATTTTCATGAGCAATTCCCTTTAAAATAAAAGCCAACATTCAATTTGCATTCCCTGTTACTTGCTGAACTTGGATGCTTGCTTTCTGTGATTCATGAACAAAGACACACAAATTCCTGCGCGGTAGCTTTATGATAATATTCAACTCTTCTATGCTTCTTGCATGACCTCACATTTTTCCACATTATATTCCATTGGCCAAGTTTTTGCCCACTCACTTAATCGGTCTATATCCCTCCGTAAACTCTTTATATGATCCTCACTAATTGTCTTCCCACCTATTTGTGTCATCTGCAAACTTGGTGATAGTACATTCACGTCTGTCATCCAAGTCATTAGTATATATTCTAAATAATTATGGCCCCAGCATTGATCCCTGTGGCACTCCATAGTTAGAGGTTGCCATTCTGAAAATGCCCCTTTTGTCCCAACTCTCAGTCATTTATTACAAAGTTCTGGAGAAACTGAGCAGGTCTGGCAGTTTCTTGGGAAAGAAAAGAGAGTTAACGTTTGAAGTCCAGAACTGAAAGCAGCTGGAAAAACATGGTATTATATTGATGATGTGGGGTGGGTTTAGGATGGGAAAAGGAGTGGGATAGATGGATGGAGTTTGTGCCAAGACAGAGAGAGGATAAGAGGGGGATGCAGTCAAAAGGACTACCGATAATAAGCTGGGGAAGAAATTAATGCCGTATAGGCGATGATGGAAATTGTGAATATTTGAAAATAGGTTGGCTTTGTATAGAATAAGACCGGGGGAGTGAGAATAGATAACAAACATGGAGGAAGGTGTTCATGCTCTGAAATTGTTAACCTTAATGTTGAGTGCTGGGGGCTGTACCTTACAGGTGGAAGGTGAGGTCATAGAGTCATACAGCATGGAAACGGACCTTTCAGTCCAACTAGTCTACGCCGACTATGTTCCCAAATGCCCACATTTGGCCCATATCCCTCCAAATCTTTCCTATTCATGTACTTATCCAAATATCTTTTAAAAGTAACTGTGCGTGCACCCACTTCCTCTGGTTGTTCATTCGACACACTAACCACTCTGTATAAAAAAGTTGCCCCTCATGTCCTTTTTAAATCTTTTTCCCCTCACCTTAAAAATATGCTATTAACCTCATCTATGCCCCTCATAATTATATAAATCTCGATAAGGTCACCCCTCAATCTCATACACTTCAGTGAAAAATGTCCAAGCCTATCCAGCCTCTCCCTACAACTCAAATCCTTCAGCCCCGGCAACATTCAATAAATCTTTTCTGAACCCTTTCCAGTATAATAATATCCCTCCTATAACAGGGTGACCAGAACTGCACATAGTACTCCAGAAGAGGCCTCACCAACATCCTGTACAACTTCAACATGACATCCCAACTGCTATACTCAATGGTCTGAGCCAAAAGAAGGCTACATGCCTTCTTAACTAATCTGTCTACCTGTGACACAAACTTCAAAGAATTATGCACCTGAACCTCTAGGTCTCTCATTCTGCAACACTACCTTAGGGTCCTATCATTAATTATATAAGTCCTGCCTTTGTTTGTTTTACCAAAATGCAATTCCTTGCATCTATCCAAATTAAACTCCCATCTGCCATTCCTCAGGCCATTGACTCAATTGATCAAGACTTCCTTGCAATCTTAGATAACCTTCTTCATTATCCACTATACCACCAATTGTGGTGTCATCTACAACCTTACCAATCATGCCTCCCACATTCTCATCCATATTATTTACATAGATGACAAACAAAAGTGGATCCAGCACTGATTCTTGTGGAATTTTTTAAAAAATTCGTTCACAGGATGAGGGCATCGCTGACTAGGCCAGCATTAATTGCCCATCCCTGCTAGTCACAGGCCTCCAGTCTGAAAACAACACTCCAGCACCACCCTCTGTCTCCTACTATAAAGCCAATTTTGTATCCAATTTGCAAGCTCACACTGAATCCCATGCAATTCAACTTTACTAATTAGACTACCATGCCGAACCTTGCCAATGACTTTACTAAAGTCCAAGTAAACAATGTCTACCGCTCTGCCCTCATCAATCTTTTTGGTTACTTCCTCAAAAAACTCAATCAAGAACTGAAACAGCCCTGAGTGGGCCTAAGACAGAAATGTTGGCATGGGAACATCATGGTGAGTTGAAGTGGCAGGCAACTAAAAGCTTGGAGTTATTTTTATAGATAAAGCAGAGTGTTTGGCTAAGCAGTCGCTTAGTCTTTGTTTGGTCTCTGCAGTGTAAAGGGACCATATTGTGAGCAGTGAATACAGCAGACCAGATTGAATTATGGTGTGGAAGGTGTGTCTTCTATTAGTTAGCCAATCCTCTATCCACGCTAATATACTACATCCAAAACCATGGACTCTTATCAAATAACCTTATGTGTCATACCCTATCAGTATGGTAGACAGTGTCACATACTGAAAAATATTCATTATTGTTGATAGTACAGCATGAATAACAGTTACTAAATCCTGTTCAGAGGTATGTCAAGATTGGTAAGCAGATCAATAACCAGAGAACACAGATATAAATTAAGTGGCAAAATAGATGATAACCTTGATAACACAGTGTGGAGCTGGAGGAACACAGCAGGCCAGCAGCATCAGAGAAGCAGGAAAGCTGATGTATTGGGTCGGGACCCTTCTCTAAAAAAAAAGGCTCCCAACCAGAAACATCAACTTTCCTGCTCCTCTGATGCTGCCTGGCCTGCTGTGTTCCTCCAGCTCCTCACTGTGTTATCTCAGACTCCAGCATCGGCAGTTCTTAGAATCTCTGGATGATAACTTTGTTGTTTTTACACACAATAAGTTTTGGCCTGGAACACACTGCTCGAAGGGTGGTGGAAGCAGATCCAAAAGTAAGTTTCAGAGAAGAACATGAAGTATACTCCAAGCGATTGAGGGGAGGGGCAAGCAAGGGCATCACTGAGCTATAGGGAAAATAGAAGGAAATTAGATTCATTGCACATTTGCTATACAGTCACAATGGATGAATGACCTGCTTTTGAGCTACAAGATTCTAAAGAATTCCAAATGTAGATTTTCAAGAACCTTTCCGATAGATTAATCAGTATATTGCACTTGGCAATGCTACCCTCAAGTAGTTTCTTAATATTAAGATATTTAAGCAAGTAGATCTGTATTCAACAATGTTCTGATTGGTGTACTTCAGACAGCACTCACATGATTCACATGGAGTATTGTGTAGAGTTTTGGGTGCCACATTATGGGAAGGATGTGAACACACTGGAGAGAATTCAGAAGCAATTTACCAGTTCCCGGAAGGAGACACTTCTGTTATGAGGGTAGATTGAAGAAGTTGGTTCTGTTCTTCTTGGAGAGAAGAAGGCTGAGAGTTGATCTGAAAGGTGTTTTCAAAATTAGGAACCGGCTAGGGAGAAATTGTTTCCATTCATAAAAGAAAAAACAATGAATGTCACAGATTAAAAGTGATGTGCAAATGAAGAAAGGGTGCGTAAAAAAATACTTATTTCCACATCTAGTAGTTAGAATATGGAATGAATGGCCTGGAAATATGGTGGAAGCAGGCTCAATTGAGGCATTCAAGAGGGTGTTGGATGATTATTTGGCTAGAAATGGTGGGCAAAGATATGGGGAAAAGACAGGAATTTCCAACTAGGTAACAGAACAAGCGCAAGTATGATTGGCCTAATAGCCTCCTTCTGCAATGTGACAATTCTTTGATGACTGAAGACATGGCTAAGCTTCTTAATACAGAGGATTGTTGATGTGTGGAATGCTTTCAATGGGAATAGTTCAGGCAGAGGCCATTGCATCTTTTAAGGGGAAAATGGGGCAATTCTTTGAAGCAAATGTCCACAGCCAAGATGTGAAAGTAGAATTAGTGCTGGATTTCTCTTTCAAACATCTTTATAGATGTGACTGTCCAAATGATCTTATTATAAGCTGTAAAGTTCTGTACTTCACAAATGTTTTCTACAGTATGCAGTATACACTATAGATTGGACTTTTACAGAATGCTGAGACACAGTTCTTTCAGACAAACATTTCCGACAGCATAACCATCCTCAATTATCAGTGCCATCAGTAAATTAAGGCAGTCAAAATAGTGAAGTGTATGCCCCTGGAACAGACAATATTGTACATCTTTGTCATTTTGATCAAAAGTCCTGATTTAAGTCTTCTGTTTCACAAGATAACTTAACTTTATATAAATACTCACTGATAATGTTATGTTTATTTGCTGAAGTAAGAACTATCTGTACCTGGAATGTGAGGAGATCTCACTGAGATCACCAGTGCTTCCTTGGGTAGCAAGGCTGGCAGAAATTGCAGCAGTGTAGTTATGAACGCTGTATGATTTTGCTTGTCCATCTTCAGGCCCTCCATCTTCACAATGATCCACCCATTGTACCATCTGGTCTGCTCTGCTTTGTATAGCTGGTCTGTTGGCAGTTAAATGAACCGTGCCCATCAATGGGGGTGGCATACATGGAGCTGTGTCAATTCCACTGTCAGTGGAGGCCCCTTTAATGTAAGTCAAGCCCAGCAATTCTGGATCCATTAAGTCACCAGAACCAAACTGTTTATCATCACTATTGCTGGATGCATTACTGGACAGAGTATTGCTGCTGGAATGGCTTGAGCAATTGTTGTCGGTAATCTAAAGATGAGGAAAAGGGATACACAACCCAGAATAATAAATATTTCCTGGTGCACTTAAATACTGAAACATACTTATTTAGCAATAATTATAGTTTTACTGTAAAAGCCCATTGTACTAGGACCAAATCTGAGTCAGGTTTGTAGGACAGGATTAATAACATATTTTAATTTTCACATTAGCATTTTAAAGTACAAATATTACAAAACAAAATTAATGGAACTGCTAATGAACATGCCCTTTGACCCTTGGGCAGTGAGTTATAAAAATATAGCGTGGCGTGATCTCATTATAAAAACCAACTCACACCCGTATTTACAACTATTGGCTTTAAATACATGTATACAAGCTGCACTATAACCCAAGTTGACCCCAGTGCCTTCATTATCTCTAGATTAAGTTCATGGACGTGTTAACTTATAAAAATACTGCCTTAATGCTAATACTAGTACCAGGGAGGATGCTTAGAAAATGTGCTAATAAATGTGCATCTACCGCCTTTCCCAACCCAATTTCATAAATGGATATCTCATCACCAAATGGCATAATTGTATTAATTGGCATGGTTACATTTGACACAAAGGGTGTGAGAAATTGTTCCAGCATCTCTTTGTAGGCTTTCATCAAGCTCAAATGAAAAAGTGAAGCCACTTATGCTAATTGCTGTTAATTAAATTGAAAATGATTAGGAAAAAATGCCCTATGGCAAGGTTAGAATAAACATTTTGTTGACTTAAATAAACTTCTGTTACCAAAACAATTACTTCCAAATAAAATTACAAAGGACACATCAAGATTTACTAGATGAACACAAGGACTGTTCTCGTAAAATGTGATGTGATATTGCAAAGAATTTAAAGACAGAGTGGTTTCTTGACCTTACTGTGCATAGCAACTACTAGAACTTTCAAGTTTACTCCTGCAGTGCAAATACTACTATAACCAAGAACAGGTACCAAAGGAATCAAAATTTAAAAGATTTCATTTTTGCAGTTCAAACAAATAAACCCAGTGCCTGGTTAATAGTGCTACTTCCGTAAAATAGCAAAGAAGTTGAAATGACACAGCTGATATTGCTATTTGTTAAGTTATTTAATCGATCAAAGGCAGTGGGACATACTCTTAAGTGGTGTCTGTCAGCAGTGAGGACCAGAACCCTCCAGCACCACTGTGTTTGCTTCTAACACGAATTTAAATACTAACTGCTATATATATATAGGGCAGATAAGTGGAGCACAGAATGAAAGTGCAATTACAGGACAGGTAATGGAGTTATGTACCATGAACAGTTAACTATATATAAAAATGGAGCTCCATACTTACATTTCAAGTAAATTGAGTTCTGCATAGTGTACAATTCATGTATTGGGGCCATGTATGGTGCACAGTTACTGTTCAGACAAATGGAGCTTCACACTGTTACAACTATATTTCAGGTAAATTGAGCTATTCACAGGGTACAATTCAAGTAAATGGAGCTCTGCACAATTACACTTTCATTTAAGGTAAATGGAGCTCTGTACTGTGGTTTGAACTCCACTCTGCCTGACACAACAGTGCAGAGATGCTGTCAGATCTGAGCTGCCAGATCCATACACAGGTAAGGGTGTCAAACCAAAGATCTGTTTTAACATCTTATTATACAAAATAATACATCCCTACTTTATAATCAAACTACCGTATAGAAACATGTAGTAGATACACTAACCAAACTGACACGTGATAATATCAGCTGAAGCCATTTTGTTGAAGGCTTTTAACTTGACATTGTCCATTAAACCAGAATGAAGGACAATGTAATAACTATTTCCCACCCTGGCCCTTCACCTCCACTTCTCAAGAAGCAAACCTGGTTATGTGTGAAAGTAGCTCTGAGAAAAACACTCTACCCTCCAGCAGGTTTAATGTTTGCTCAGCAGCCCCTCACAGGTCTAATGCAGGCAGTGACAGCACCAACAGAATGTGGAGCAGGCAACTGCATGTTGGAAATAAAAACATTGACACAAATCTGCTTACAACATTTGCTGATGGCCAGTGAATCTTACATGTAAAATCTTATTTGGAGACTCTTTGCCAATGCTTTCCCTTTGCAGTCCCTTGTAGGAATTCAGGATTTTTGTTGATGGAACATGCCATCTAGGTTCTGGAAGAGAAATGATTAAAAAAAAAATTGGTGGCCGATTTTGATCAGTAGTTAAAGGAAGTCACAAAATTACAGACAAGTTTTCAAATTTGCATTTGACCTTGTACTGCTTTCAATTCTTTTCTTCAATGTTTATTCAACTTGATCCTATTACTGCCAATAAATCAGGGAATGAAGACTCTTCTGTCGTCATGTGGAAAGAAAGTCATAGAGTCATAGAGCTGTACAGCACGGAAACAGACCCTTCGGTCCAACTCGTCCATGCTGACCAGATATCCTAAATTAATCTAGTCCTACTTACCAGCAGTTGGTCAATATCCCTCTAAAACTTTCCTATTCATATACCAAGTCTTGATGAAGGGTGTAAACCCAAAATGTCGACCTTCCTGCTCCTCTGATGCTGCCTGACCTGCTGTGTTCCTCCAGCTCCACACTATATTGACATAAATTCATCCAGATGCCTTTTAAATGCTGTAATTGTACCGGCCTCCACCACTTCCTGTGGCAGCTCATTCCGTAAATGCACCACCCTCTGCATGAAAATGTTGCCCCTTAGGTCCCATTTAAATCTTCCCCCTCTCATCTTAAACCTATGTCCTCTAGTTTTGGATTCCTCTATCCTGGGAAAAAGACCTTGGCTATTCACCCTATCCATGCTCCTCATGATTTTATACGCTTCTATAAGGTCACCCCTCAGCCTCTGATGCTCCATGGAAAATAGTCCCAGGCTATTCAGCCTCTCCCTATAGCTCAAATCCTCCAACCCTGGCAACATTCTTGTAAATCTTTTCTGAACCCTTTCCAAATTTCACAACATAGGGTGGCACAGTGGCTCAGTGGTTAGCATTACTGCCTCACAGCACCAGGGACCTGGGTTCAATTCCAGCCTTGGACGACTGTCTGTGTGGAGTCTGCACGTTCTCCCTGCGTCTGCGTGGGTTTCCTCCGGGTGCTCTGGTTTCCTCCCACAGTCCAAAGATCTACAGTACTATCCTAATAAAGGGATCATTCCTTTCTTATTTCTCGGTTCTACCCAAATAGCTTCCGTGGACATACTCCCAGAAATGTCCTTCCTAAGTACAGCTGTAATGTTATCTATAATTAAAAACGCCACTTCCCCTCCTCTCTTGCCCACCTATCCATCCTTCTTATAGCATCTATACCCTGGAACTTTAATCTGCCAGTCCTGTTCATCCCTGAGCCATGTCTCTGTAATTGGTATGATAACCCAGCCCCATGTTCCCAACCATGCCCTGAGTTCAACTGCCTTACCTGTTAGGCCTCTTGCATTGAAATAAATACAGTTTTATTTATCAGTTCTATCTCATTCTCTGCTTTGTTCCTGCCTGTCTTGACTGTTTGACTTGCTCCTTTTCCTGACTCTACCAGTCTCAGGCTGATCTCTTTCAGACAACATTAAGTTGGTTACTACTTCTCTTTAGGACAGGTCTTTTTGAACTTCCTAGATTCGTTCTTCTTGGACACTGCAAACCGATAAGGGCTCTGCCCTATGTCTCACTCTTGTGCACTTTATATCTTCCCTCAAGCAAGTTCTTTTAGTTGCTGGCAATTATTTGGATTCTCTCTCCTTCCTGGCTATATAGGAGAAATGCTGCATAGTCAAATGTGGTTTCCCATCAAGCCTCCAGGTCAATAGAGAAAGTCCTGACCCAACCTGTTTGCAAATAGATGGATACCTAGTACAAAACTGACAGGAGTGCAGGAAAAGAGATACACTACTGGTGGTTACTGTGTCAATTTACTAATCCACTGTTAGTAATAATATCTCTCACTACTCCCTTATTTACCCAACATCAGTTTATGAATATTCAAGGTTCACAAAGAAATGCAGCCTACAACATCCCAGGGACTATGTCCTCATTGGGTATATCTGCAACATTTTCTTGAAAGTCGATTTGTCAATTTCCACTTACATTCACTAACTTCACCAAAGATTAAGGCTCACGTTTCTGACTCTTGTCCTTCTAATATTTCTCATGTGTTTCACTCTTGGTATTGAAGTCTCCATAACTGTCAAACCTTTAGTCAAACGGAGTCATTTTTTTTCTTTTATATAATTAAAATTTTCTTTCCTCTGCTAAAATCACTATTCTTTGAAACTGATCACAATCAGCAACAGCTCCGTTTCTCTGCTACTGAAACAAATCTAAATCTGTAGGGTGCAGTATGCCACAGCTTCCGACAGCAGCAGGGAATGCAGAAGAACAGATTAGTTTCCCATTAGGCTCCTTTTTCATCTACCCAAAGTGTGTTGTTTAGGATCAGCTACTTGAGTACCATGGCCAACAGTTTTGCATTTTTAAAAATATTTTTAATGACATAAATGTAGCAAAGAAAATATGTGATAACAAGGTGTAGAGCTGGAAGAACACAACAGGCCAAGCAGCATCAGAGGAGTAGGAAAGCTGATGTCTTGGGTCTGGGCTCTTCTTCAGAAAGAAAACATGTGTAGCCTTTTTTTTAAAATCAAATTGATTGTTAAAACAAGATTAAACATTGTACTGTAGAGAAATGAATGCCGAACAACGAAACACTAATAATATCCCAAAAAGTGATTAAACAAATTCCAACTCACTTCAAACTCTAGCCTCCAGTTCACCCAGAACTTCATTGTTCACATGTTTTCTTGTACAATCAACCCTGTTATCCAAGATTCCACTGCTCCCTGTCTGTCTGATTTGAAAAAAAAAACTTGTCTTTACAGGTTCTTTCATAGTTTTTCCTCTGCACCAGAATGTTTCTCACTCAGAATCCAAACTGTTGCTGTCTTTACGGCCCCATGCTGTGGATGACACAGCTTTAAGACCATAAAACCATAAGACATAGGTGCAGAAATTAGGCCATTCAGCCCACCAAGTCTGCTCCACCATTCAATCATGGCTCTGATAAGTTTCTCAGCCCCATTGTCCCGCTTTTTTCCCATAATCCTTGATCCCATTGACAATCAAGAACCTATCTACCTCCGTCTTAAATATACTCAATGACCTGGCCTCCACAGCCTTCTGTGGCAATGAATTCCATAGATTCACCACTCTCTGGCTGAAGAAGTTTCTCTTTATCTCTGTTCTAAAAGGTCTTCCCTTTACTCTAAGGCTATTCCCTCGCGTCCTAGTCTCTCCTACCAATGGAATCATCTTCCCAACATCCACTCTGTCCAGGCCGTTCAGTATTCTGTAAGTTTCAATTAGATCCCCCCTTATCCTTCTAAACTCCATCGAGTATAGACACAGAGACCTCAAACATTTCTCAGAGGTTAAGCTTTTCATTCCTGGGACCATTCTCATGAACCTCCTCTGAACCCGCTCCAGGGCCAGTACATCTTTGCAGAGATATGGGGCCCAAAACTGTGCACAATACTTCAAATGTGGCCTGACCAGAGCTTATAGAGCCTCAGAAGTACATCCCTGCTTTTATATTCAAGTCCCTTCAAAATAAGTGCCAAAGTTGCATTTGCCTTCCTGACTACTGACTCAACCTGCAAATTTATTTTGAGAGAATTTTGGACTAGAACTCCCAAGTCTCTGCACTTCAGACTTCTGAATTTTCTCCCCATTTAGAAAATAGTCCATACCTCTATTCTTCTTACCAAAGTGCCTGACCTCACACTTTCCCACGTTGTACTCCATCTACCACTTCTTTGCCCACTCTCCTAACCTGTCCAAATCCTTCTGCAGCCTCCTTGCATCCTCAATACTATCTGTCCCTCCACCTATCTTTGTATCATCTGCAAACTTAGCCAGAATGCCCACAGTCCTTCATCTAGATCATTAATGTATAAAATGAAAAGTTGTGGTCCCTATACTGACCCTTGTGGAACACCAATTGTCATCGACTGTCATCCTGAGAAAGATACTTTTAACCCCACACTCTACTTTGTGCCAGACAGCTAATCTTCTATCCATGCTAGCACCTCGCCTCTAACACCATGGGCTCTTATCTTACTCAGCAGCCTCCTGTGTGGCACCTTGTCAATGCAGTAGAGGAAATCAGGAAGTTAATTCCACTTGAGCATGTTAGCCTAAAGCCTAAAACCTAAAGCCTAAGGCTGAAAGCCAACATGCTCAAGCGGAATTAACTTCCTGATTCCCTCTATTGCATCTCAACTAGCTTCTAAACTTATCCATCATTCATATGCCCTACCATCTTCTCCTCATTTTGCTTCAGCTCCCCGAGTGAATCTGACAAGACATTTTGCTGTCTTATCATTGCTTGTGCTTTGGCTGTTATTGGTCAGAGTCACCATTGATACTTTTGACAGTTACCTTAAATCTGTGACCTCTGGTTAATGACTCTTCTGTCACTGGAAACAGTGCCACTTTATTTCCCTTTGAGTGTAAGTCATACAATGAGAGTGAAGGATTCTTTGCCAAAGTGAGAATGATTCAGGGGAACTGGGAATTTGGGGCAGAGCGGAGGTGGGATTGGGAGAGGGAGGGGGGGTACTTTAATTAATGTTTACTCCAAGAAATAAAGTCTCCAGAGCAGGAGGTGAGTGGAATAGGAAAAAAAGAAGCATGAATTGTGAGGCTTACCAACAGCAATATGATGTCATCAGTAGAGAAAAAGCAGCTGATTGGTGAGGAGATTTGGTCAGTAGTTCAAGTCTTTAATTGAAAGTTGGTTATTTCGTTTGCATTTAAGTCTCTAGACTTTTTGTCTCTCTTTTTCTAAGAAATAGCTTGTTAAGTTTTCATTGCAAGTCCATACTTATTCTAAGGGTGACTTATTTTGGGTGTTTAGAGTTACAGGACGGGGACGGGCTAAGTGGAGTGTACGGCCTGCAGTATTTCTGAAGTCATGGACATTGGCCCAGACAAACATATATGCAGAAGTGTAACTGGCTGTACAAACTCAGCTCTGGATTTTGGAACTGGAGCAGTGGCTAGAGTCACTTTTTTGTATCAGAACTCTATGGATAGCATGGAAAGAGAGGTGGTTGCTCCACAGATTAGAAGTGTACTGTCAGAGGGTAAATAGGT